GAGAGAGAGAGAGAGAGAGAGAGAGAGAGAGAGAGAGAAATTCTACTAATACTAAACAGTTAACAGCCAGGTAAAATAATAAGAGAGAAGTGTATACATGACTCAGAAAGTTCATCCTCCTCATAAACATAAAATAAGATTAGAAAGCGGAATAAAGGAAATCTTGGAGAAATATGCCCATGTAATCATCTGTCTGAATGCCAGGAACCAACTCATGTCAGAGACAGCAGTTAAGAATCTGTAGACACCAGAAAACATAAGGAGAGTAAAGGGCTCCAAATAAATTTTAAAAAAAATCATCATAAGTCTCTTTTTGTGCTGCTTTACAAACATCTCTCTCCCAGGAGACGGTCACCTGCACTATTACACAAGGAGCCTAACTACCTTGTTTTGAAAATCACTTGGGAACTGCAAATTTTAGGGAACCAAGAGAAATCTTCTGCCAATTTCACAGATAGTATATTTTTAAATTTACAATTTAGGAATCAATCATCCATAAAGAAGAAAAACTGCAACATCTTGCTTTCAAGCCGCTTGTTTACTAGGGGCACAATTTCTAAGCAAGGCCTAGACATTTACAACTAGACTAGATAAACCTCTAGCAATGGCTCGCAGATGAACCTCTTATGCTCTCTGTATGTGTGTATATATATCTCCTCAATATATGTTCCATTCTATATGCATCCGAAGAAGTGGGCTGTAGTCCACGAAAGCTTATGCTCTAATAAATTTGTTAGTGTCTAAGGTGCCACAAGTCCTCCTGTTCTTCTTTTTGCAGATGAACCTCTGTTCTATGATCCTTTCAGACACCAGATCTCACTGACTTTAATTGGAGACTGGTGCCTTGCCCCAATTTAAAAACACATCCCTCTGTGTTTTCAACTTATACCTGTCCTTTCTGGATTACATTTTCTTTAGTAGACTTTATTATGTCATCTGAAAACAATTAGTAGTCAAAAATTTGACCATTTCCCAATACCTTTAACTATTTCACTACTGCTGAATTTGCCAGGTATTTTGGCAGAGCACACCAGCTGTCCACTGGAGTGTTAATGGATGATGGCGGGTGTTGCAGGGGAACGGCAGCAACAGAGATTATTAATTTACAGAGCGCCCAGATCTCGGATGATGTGTACACTAACAAAAAGTTAAAGCCACAGCATGTTAAAAACCCAGACATTCCCTCAAAAAACTGGAGAGCTAGTGAGCATGGGAGTGAAAAAATGGTGCCCTGACCCAACAGAAAAGCCTTATGCCAAGTCTTGAATATTGTCATGAGGGGGCTTCAGTGGAAGTCTTCAGGGATGGAATGACAGAGAGGGATCCCAATTCCTAGCCTGATGCAGATGGAAGCTCAGGACAGATGGCAAGAGACAATACCGATGAAAAGCTTACTCTTGGGATAATGGTGTCCTGCTGCTACATAAATACAGGAGCAAACTATACAAAGAGATGAAATATGAAATTTTATTTTCAAAGCAGAGAAAATTGATCCTGTAACTATGATCTATTACAGTGACTTCGTTCCTATTATCCCAAATGATGGCTGCAGACTGAAACATTTTACTCAGATGGATGTTAGCAGAATACAGTGGCAGTTGCTCACTGTACCATTATTAGCCCACTACACCCTGGTTGGCTTAAATAAAAGAATAAACAGTTGTAGTCTTCCCCTCCATAAACTGGATGAGCTGCCACAGATTCCATTTGGAATAGCTGAAAGTAAGTGACCGAACTGAAAGACTTCATCAGACAAAATAAAACGTGTTCCTGTCACTGCTTTTCTAGGCACTCTTCAGCAAATCCCCTGGAACGTGTAAACCACATCACATGTTGTAAGTGATCTTTTACCAGCATTATAGAGCAAAGAATTCTACTTGCATGCTCTGCTTAGATCTAATATGTCACTGTGAAAGCAGGGGAGCCCAAACCATTCTCTGAGAGACACCTTTGTGAACTTCCAGCAGCCCAATGGCTGTAAATGGAACTCATCTTTCATACCGAGGTACAAGTTTGTCTGTTCCATTCTGTTGTGACCCTGAAACATACGCGACCTCTTCTAAATTAAGATTTCAGGGATTATTTCTTAACTGCTTCCTGCTTCCAAGAACAGCACACAAAGGCAGCTCAGAGGGACGACAGGACATGCACACAACAATGAAGAAATCCAGTGCTCCAGGTATGTTACTGTACAGTTGCCCACCAGAGTGGCTTGTATTTTATCTATGCTGCAGTGCTTGTTAAGGGGCACGTATAGGTCTTCCAGGATTAGGAGGGAAATATGACAGGAACGGCATTATTAAGAACATGCTCAGTTTTGGGTTAACTGATCTTGACAGTGTCCTCTTAAAAACAAATACAAGGATCTATATTTTCCCCTTAAGTTGTATTTTTCTAATTATGGAAAAACTTGGTCTGTGAGTGCTATAACATAAAGTTGGCAGAATTAGGCTGGTATGATAATTCTGTGGATGACAAAGAGATTATATTTCTGGAGACATCACAGGATTCCTGCTCTTTGTTAATTATTGTTACTAGTTGTATAATAACAGTGCCTAGAGGCTCCAACTGAGACTGGTGCCCTATAGAGGTAAGCACTGTACAGACAGACATTTTCTTCTTTAATGATATGCATAGAAATTTGGAGCAATTAGTGGTGAAGCAGGCTTTTAATATTTTAACATACATCACTATAACCCATCAGAAGGTGAAATAATCTTTGTGTTACAAGCACTACTTGACTGTTTAAGACAGATGTTGATTGTTATATTTGCCACTATGCCTTATGTACATTTCAGGTACTGCCATCTGGACCATTAAAATAGCTCTTTTTAATATGACCAACAGTGAGACAGTCCCGGACCTGATGAGCTTGCAATTTAAATAGACAAGACAGAAAAAAGATGGGAGGAAGAGCATATCATCATCTTTATTTCACATATGCGCTTAACTGGTTTTCTGAATCAGGGGCTTATTAGCAGGGGGATGAACTATGATTTAAATCATTCTTTTCTATTGCTAAATCTATTTTTTTTTTGGTAGTACGGTATTTAGACCTCAATTCAGGAAAGCATCCCTAACCAGTAAAGTATTATGTTTAGCTGCTTTCCTGAATCAGGGCCTTACTCTTTTGGGTTCCAA